GGAGAGGCTGAGGGAACTGGGGATGTTTAGTCTACGGAAGAGAAGAATGAGGGGGGATTTGATAGCTGCTTTCAACTACCTGAAAGGGGGTTCCAAAGAGGATGGCTCTAGACTGTTCTCAGTGGTAGCAGATGACAGAACAAGCAGTAATGGTCTCAAGTTGCAGTGGGGGAGATTTAGGTTGGATATTAGGAAAAACTTTTTTACTAGGAGGGTGGTGAAACACTGGAATGCGTTACCTAGGGAGCTGGTGGAATCTCCTTCCTTAGTTATTTTTAAGGTCAGGCTTGACAAAGCCCTGGCTGGGATGATTTAATTGGGGACCGGTCCTGCTTTGAGCAGGGGGTTGGACTAGATGACCTCCTGAGGTCCCTTCCAACCCTGATATTCTATGATTCTATGATTTCTCAGTGGGGAGAGCCATGAGGCACAGTATATTAGCTTTCTCACATTTAAGAATTTATTAAAGGCTGGGTCCTGTACATAATGAGATGCACATTCACTCAAACTCATATACATAGCCCAGCTAAACATTCTTTCAACTAACCCAGCAGTGCTATATGACATTCATAGACTCTGCTTTTCCCCGGCCCAATATAGTACTTTTCCCTTTGTCTTCACAATGCGGAGGAGAGTGGTGTGGTTAACAGGCAAAAATGTTAGTTTTATCTAAGAGTTCACGAGAAAAGCTTTTAGTAAACAGTAAATCTTTAAAGGGCTGAGGTCAGTCAGACTAACATCATTGTATATAAGCTCTAAGGACCAGATGACTTCTTTGACAAGTCCGGCCTTGAGAGGGACGCGGAATGTGGGGCACTGTAGTGGCAATCCCAAGAAAAAAATATGCCAGGTCTGTCACAATTGCCCCTGCTAACTCAGAAAACGGCACACTATAACAGAAACTTCGTCATCCTTTAAGAATTTGTTCCCACTGTACTAGTCAGCTGGGTGTGGGTACAGAGGCGGCCAGCAACTCTAATGCCACCAGTGGAGCTGGTCTAGTCCAGACCCTCTACTCCCTGTAGCTACATCAAAGCTGTCCCTATCTAGGGACTCTAGGGAAAGGAGAAACTTCCTGTGCCTCCATACAGGCCCAGACACAAAATGGCTCTAATTTTTTACTCTGTGTTCATCCCAATCAACAGAGAGCTCTGTACAACATCCTAAAATGTAAATTACCCACGAAAATGCCCAAATAAGCATGTTCGCAAGCAGCAGTAGATAAAACAATTCATGGTTTACAGTAATTAGTTTGTCAGGTGGTGCTTTCATTGTAGGGGCATGATGCAGTCGCTTGGGGTTGGGTAGTTCTTTCTGTGTAGGATGCCAGCTACTAATGTATACAAAGACCTGGCTAAGAACCAGAACATGCATTGAAAAATGAAAGACACGTTTTGTAGCTAGTTCTGTTTCTGTACATTCTGATTATACCTTGCGTGTCTCTCATGTTCCTGACAAACAATCATCAAACCTTTAGCTTGGTGATTAGTCCCTATTGTACATCAGACACAAACAGAATGCAGATACCTCATGGATCTCTCACTGAGTTGCAAGTAGCTACTTGTATCATCAGGATTGTCCTCATCATTAACTAGCTGGGACCAGCTGCCTGTGCTTTCATCGCTGCTGTTGAGAGGATTCGGAAAGTCTTCAGCTGTTTTTGTTTCCACCATGATTTCAGCATCTGGTTTGCTTCTAGTATCAACACTGCAAGAAAAGGCATTATTGATATGGTAAGTGAAAAAATGTAGGAGTTTAAACTAGAGTCTCCAACCTTCAGGCAGTGGAAAGCTTGATTTCCAAAGAGCCAAATAGCAGCAGGACACTTTAGTCAGCTTCAAGTTTTGTATTACAATTTCTGGCTGTGCTATAGTGGGGATACTTGTGGGGACTGATTCATTTCCCATTCACTGTAAATTTAGGGCAAATCCACTGAAGTCAATAAAGAATGGCCATACTGGGTCAGACCAAAGGTATATCTAACCCAGTATCCTGTCTTCTGACAGTGGCCAATGCCAGGTGCCCAGAGGGAACGAACAGAACAGGTAATCATCAAGTGATCCATCGCTTCTTGCTCATTCCCAGCTTCTGGCAAACAGAGGTTAGGGACACCATCCTGGCTAATAGCCATTGATGGACCTATCCTCCTCCATGAATTTATCACTGTAATGTTCAGCAGTAAAAATGGTGCAGGATCAGAATCTAGACCATTTCATGTTACACAAAATCCAGTTAAATATCTGGTATAAGATTCTCTTTAAAATGGCTTTTATTATATAAAAACAAAACAAATGAGGCTTTCCATTATTTTGGGAATGCCACATCACATAAATGTTCAAACTGACAAATTATGGGCCTGTATCATGACTTAATTGCAATTGGATGTTTAAACCCACACATGTAAAAATATGTCCTTTGGCTGAGTAGGGATTGGGAAAGAGGTATCAGATAAAATCCACTCCAGGCATCACCTGAGGAAAGGGACTCATCTCTTTGTATGCCCTTAGAATACCAATAATTCTTAGCAATTATATGGGACAGCACTTTTTGTTTGTATAGTGGTTTGAAAATATAAACAAATTAATCCTGTTATCAATAAGTATTTTAAGGATGCTTATTCTTTTTGTATTTCCAGTTGCATAACAGAGGTGTTAAATTTCTTAAAGTGCAACAGTAAAAAATAAATTGTGTTAGACATCAAAAAGTATTAAAAACGAGATACATATCTGAGTCAAATAAAAATCCCTGAAAAGAAGTGTAGTGCACACATGATAAAAAAAACACTATAAACATATTTAGAAGTGAAACATACCAAATTTATGCTCAAATGTGGGTCCCATTTCATCTTAAATGTCTCTGGAGGACCTCTAATTGGAAAAGGCATATGTTCGTATGTGATACACGCATTCTTTCCCTAGTCCATTCTGCCACTGAAAATACAGGTGCTTTGTGCAAAGCCATCTCATACACATTCTAGCTACTGACTGTGCTACTCCCCAAAGTTCTCTTTCATGTTTAATGAAAAAGTGTCTGAATTATTTACAATGCAAACACCCTGCTTAAAAAACTCAAAATGCAGCCAGCAAATTTTCAATAGCTGTTGACCAAAATTTGGCTATTTCAAAATGACATGCAAAAATCTAACATTCAACCTTTAAGGCAACATTAAATCTATTCCTAGGAAATGAAAAGAGGAAATAAAATAAACAATAGCACCTTTCATCATGAAGGATTACAAAGTGCTTCCCTAACTGTTTATTCACGCTACCATTGAAATCCAGCTATCTTTTGGTTGGACAGATGGGGTGACGGCACAACAGAAAGTAAGAGGACATTTTTCCCAAGGATGCTGTGTCAGATCCTTATTCTCAAAGTGCAGCTGTACTCTGAAACATGTCTTTGAAATGCTGCATCTTACAGAACTGCTCCATGTGTGTATCCAGTCATATAGCTCCATAGATTAAACATGCTTTTACTCCTTGTATTCCTGCTAGCACTGCAGAGCCAACAGAATGTAGGAAGGGTGAGCTGGGTAGTATTCTAGTTTATGCATCAATAGATTAATTATAAGGCAAAGATTTGGCCCTCACTTGCATAAGCATAATGCCACTGAAGACTATGTGGTTGCACAAGCCACTGTGAATATGTCCACACTGCATCTGGGATCAAGCCTCCCAGTCTGGGTCCACAGACCTGTGCTAGCAGGGCTCATGCTAGTGCACTAAAAATAGCTGCATAGACATTGCAGCTCTGTTGGAGCTTGGGCTCTTAAGCTTGGGGCTGAGGGGGGTGGACTTGAGAGCCCGAGCTCCAGCATCTACAAAGTTACAGTAGAACCTCAGAGTTAGGAACACCTCGGGAATGGAGGTGGTTCATAACTCTGAACAAAACGTTATGGTGGTTCTTTCAAAAGTTTACAACTGAACAATGACTTAATACAGCTTTGAAACTTTACTGTGTAGAAGAAAAATGTTGCTTTTAACCCTCTTAATTTAAATGAAACAAGCAGAGAAAGTTTCTTTACCTTGTCAAGTTGTTTTTTAAACTTTCCCTTTTTTTAAAAAATAGTTTACATTTAACACAGCACTGTATAGTATTTGCTTTTTTTATTGGTCTCAGCTGCTGCTGATTGTGTATGTCCAGTTCCAAGTGAGGTGTGTGGTTGACGGGTCAATTCATAACTCTGAGGTTCTACTGTAGTTATTTTTACGCTACGGCGAGTCTGTAGGACCAGGCCAGGAGGCTTGCTCCCAGAGGCAGTGTAGACATACCCTGGAGGACTAATTAGGCATGAAGGACTTTTTTTTTTTTTTTGGTGATTGTACATGAGATGGAATGAACGCAGCTTGACTCCCTGAACCCAAATTGAGCTTGGAGCACTGGTGATTAGAAAAAAATGTTTTTTCTTAAAACTCTGCATACTTGATGTGGAGTTCCTAAGGAACAATAATGTGGACCCCCACAATGACATTTTTAGGGACTCACTTTTCTGAGCAGAACTGAACTTTAAGAGAATTGCCCTGGGCACTGTGGTATCTACTCTACATGGAGACTCTGTTTTATAAGGACCGTAAAAGAGACCTCAAATGAATGCATGATAAGAAAGAGCAATGAAACAGCTACAAGAACTGAATTACAATTAACCCAAGGTGAAACAGTAGCTTTCTGGGTTTATAAAGTGTTTCATTTTCTTTTAGAGCCATTAACCAATTAGATACTGCAAGTGCAATTTCCCAGCCTGACCAGTCTTTCCATGTGGTCCTGATCCTCACACACACAAAGTCCATTAGAATCACTAGGAGTTTTCTGTGTGGATCAGCATTGGGACCAATGTATTCCCTACATAGGAGCTCCCTACCACCCCCAGCTTCTCATACGTTACATTTCTCTTCCAACTATTTTCTCTCTCCATTGCTGTATTAACTAACCAAAAGTGAAACAAGATATTGTTAAAGAGTTATATCAAGTGCTAAATGTTAGCGAAACAATGACATTCTTTTAGCTGCTTTTAAACAAAACAGAAGTAGACTTGAAAGAGGAATACTTCAGTAATATAACCTCAGCTTTTCTATCATTTCCTTTTGCAGAGGCTCATTCAAGGTCTGTATTGTACAGCTTGTATTTCTTGGCAACGAGAACATGCTACTCGGTGTTCTGGTGGGGTATCTGGGCTGAAACGTGTGTATCAATCGGTTACTGAACCACACTGTTTCATCAGTACCACGACAGTACATTTCACATGGCCACATCAAGAATTGTTCACCAAAGGCACAGATGAACCAGGGCATATTTGTCTGACTACAGCAGGTAAGTCAACTCATCATTCAATTCACCTACCTACATGTAAACTTTCTGCACACAAACGGAATTCACCCCCAAGCATATGTAAAGTGTGCAGATGCATACAGCTTTGCTCTGTCATCTTCCTTTCCCCAGCTCCAGTGGTATCTTCTCCCCACCCACTCTACATACCAAGAAAGAAAAATATGGGGCCCACCTGCCTGTGTGGTGAGCTCTGCATGACCGACCCCTGCATCTCTATGCTTTGGAAGCTTACTGATCTCCTCTGCCCACAGTGACAAGGAGTGAAATCCTGGCCTCACTGAAGTCAATGGGAATTTTTTCATCTACTTTAATGGATCCAGGATTTCAGTCAAGGTCTCTTATTCCTTTCTCCATTAACAAGTCCTGTTATAACCACAGATGAGCTACATAAGTCACAAAATTCCCACATCTGTCTTCATGGAGAACCTTACAAAACTCAGGTTTCATCCTGAGGAAAGAGCAAACAGTATCTTTAACCACATCAGAAGCAGGCACACATTTGCTGAGTGGATTGTCCACCAAGATATTCATAATAGTTCAGTGTCTAGTGCTTTAAATCTCTGTACTGTACAGAAGGAGCAGTTCAGATAGAGTTGGTCAAAACATAGGATTACCCATTGCAGAAAACTGGGTGTTAAAACTCTATAACAATAAATATGTAACTACATTCAACCAGACCCTGAATTTACTCCCTCTGAAGTTAATCTCCAAAACTACAGGCTTCTGGGTATTCTGAGTTTCCTGAAATCCAGAGCCAATTCAGTGGATGAAAATCCCCTCTATTCAGCAACTCTTGAGCATCCAATTCATCATTCAATTGTTATGTCAAGTTACATCAAGACAGCCTTGCAAAATTCTGCTGACTCATATGAGTGACTAACTCTTATCTTTTGTTTCTGGACAGCCAAGAAAATAATTAGGTCTTCCATTGTAAGACTTTATTTAGGGCTAAGTTTGCAAAAAACAGGTTTCAAGTTGTGCTTTTGCGAACTATGCAGTGGTAACTGAGTGAGTGCAACCCACATTTGCACACTGTCTCCACTCCTGCCACAGAATCAGCTGTTTGTGTGGGCAGTTACTGGTAAAAGTATACAGCTGCTTTATTGCCAGTGGAAACTAGGATCAACACACACTAAAATTAGGCTCTCTACCTTTGGATTGTGCTACAAGATAGCAGGACTTGTATTTTTCCTAAACCATGTCAGAAGCAGATTTAGCATTCTTCAATAGAGGAAAAACCATGCTTTGAACCAAAGAAGCCAAGCTTTTCATTTCACTACAGAAGAGCTGCAGCTCAATGAGGCCTGTTTCCTGCTCAAGGTTTGTCAAGATACCCATCCCTACAGATGTAATCACAGAGCTGACTATCTAGTTGTAAGAGGTCTAATTCTTCTTTCCAGGCACACAAGTAACTAGTTATGTGAATGAACAGAACAGACAGTTCAAGGCCAAATTCTGCTCTCTTTGTTTTTACAAAAGCAGCATTAGTTTAAGCCTAGGTGTTAGCCAGCTGTGCATGTCCACATGGTTACCTGTGAAGATGATTTTTGCCAAGGCAGGATTAATCGGTACAGGAGAGAAGGCAGAGTGGCATCAGGTGAACCAATAAGGTCCACACTAAAACACACATTCCTAGATCTGGCCTTGTCTGTGACTCAAAACATAGAGGACATGGACAATGTCAACTCTATGGGTCTGGAGAGCAGTGCAAACCAGGCTGAAATAGTTTAAGCCTTTTACTCCCTCCCACCTTCGGTTTTCAGGCATAAACCATTTCACAGTCAGAGTTCAGCTCTATGTGTCCTGTGGTGTTAGAAGCGCACCTCAGTAATATAATTACTGTCCTTGTACACACAGGTCTTTTTTGGCAATTAATAGTATTTCAATTTGTTTCCCTCATTAGGTTTGCTGTAATAGGAAATTAACTCCAATATATTTCAAAAAGCTAAGTTCCTCCCACCAGACCCCTCCCGGAAACCACTGTATACTGTTAAAGTTTAAAAACAAAGCAGTGTCTTGACTTGTCTTTTTCTGTCACTTACCTGGTATTTATCACAGAGCTTGAAACCATGTGCTTCCCAGAATATGCTGCTGGAGGTTTTTCTTTGTTCAGATGCTCCTTTGTTTCCCCAGTGGGGATGATACTAGAAGTTAAGGGCTCTAAGTCTTTATTCAGCTCTTCTCTTTGATCAGTTTCTATCTGAATCAAAGGCACTTCCCTCAGGAAAGCAGAAGAGCCTATATGGCTTCCCTGGAGGGATCCATGGGTTGTGAGTTGTTCTTTTTTCCCATCTAAATTTATTCTGTCCCTTGTGGGTTTAGACTGACTTTGAGTCACACTTGGGAGAGATCTGCCTTCTGCTACATGTTCCTGGTTTGTATAGTCAAAGGAATCTTGATGGATGACAATTAATGTTTTCCCACTTTCAACAATATTTGCAGCCAGTCTGTTTGCATATTGTTCTACATGCAGTGGGGAATCACTGGGGAATTGATCAGCATCTGTAACCTCTGCCTCATCCCCTATAATCTTGTTCTTACGCATTAGAGATTCAATTGAGCTTGCCCACGTCTCATGAATCAGCATGTCTGTCACCTGGTCAGTCCTACATCTTTGGTATAGGCATGAGTCTGACTTGCAAAGACCTGAAGAAGACACAGTGCTGACCTGCTGTACACTTAAGGAATCCTGGTGGCTGTTGTGAGCAAAGCCATCTAAAGATTTTGCTTTGATTGGTGCATTCACTGTTAGCCTGGAACTAGATGATCTGCTGTCAGGCATAGAGGATTGTCTAAAACAAAATGGTGATCGTGGAGAAGGTGGTAACAAGCTTCCACTCCACTCCTTTGAACTCCTGATGGAAGAAGCGTCATCTTTATTTTCCTTTTCTATTTCCCTTAGCATATACCTATAAAACTCTTCTGTGATGCTTTCTGTGCTAGACTGTTTGGATGGGCAGCTTGGTCTCACGTTGAGGTGGCCGTTTTTCCTGGATACCTGTTGCAAGGCAGAAGTTAGAATGCTGCTTGCATTTTTTCCTGCATAGTAGTCCAGTAATAAATCAAACCCTCTCCCTTCATTTTCCATCTGGTTCACCATAAATCTTGAAAATTCATCTGTAATACTTTCACAACTAGACTGCTTAGAGACAGAACTAGTCTGGCTTCCCGGCTGACTTAAAATATTAATTGGGCCCAAAGTATTTATAGATCTTTTGGAATCTGAATCCTCTTCTGGTATGCTCTCACAGCTGGACCCCTTGGCACGGCCCCATCTTTCACAGTGCAACCTGTTTCTGGGATGGTTTGGACCCTGCCAGACATTATCAACCATGGATAGCTCGGTTAGGTTCATAATTTTAGCAGCCACTTCATTTGCAAAGATACTGACAGATTCTGGAGTATCTTCAAGGTTGATGGATTCATCCACTACTCTGTTCATCAGTCTTTCCTTTAGTTCTGGATGCTCATCTGTTTTCCTTTTGATCTCACTCAGTCTAGGTGGCCTGTGCTTCCTAACAACTGAGCCATTGGGCTGCGATTCCTTCTTCCTTTTTATAGTTCTGCATGATAAACTCTGGGTCACCAGATATTCATTTCCTCTTTTCCATGCACAGAACCAAGGTTGCTTACCATTTGAGTTTTCAAGACAAATGGCAGCTATTTCTGTTGCCATGGAGACCACGGTTTCTGCTAATTCTTCTGCAAAATCTGTTACACAGTATGTATCCCTTGGATGTTTTACCTGTAGCACAGGCTGAGAAGGAAGCAAGATGTGATTACCTAATAAAGACACACTAACTTGGACTTCATTATTTAGCACAGTATCACACTTATGTTTGCTCTGGTTTTCTGTGTTCACAATAACATCAGAAGATAACTGCTCTTGAAAACCATGTCTGCATTCATTGATTGTAAGTGTATTTTCTCTGTCTGAAAAAGACCTGAGGTCAGTCTTGCTTTGATATAGGGATCTGTAGCAATCTCTTGTGGCTCTTTTCAGATATCTTTTCTTGGGGGATGTTTTGACAACCAGTGAGTTATGCCCACTGACACTACACAGCAGGTCTGAATGCAGTGTGGCACTTTCCATGGTATTTGGCACGCCTTCCTCCTTATCTTTCTTTGTATTTGTCAAAGTTACAAGATCTTTGCCAGCATTAGCACTGTAAAAAGTACTAAGTGGTTCACTGGTGTGATCTGGGGCTTGCTGTGATGGTTGAGTAGCTGTTGTCTGTGTTGCGTGGCTTTCTGTTTCTGTTACCCTCCATCTGTCTTTGTCCTCAGAGAAGAGAAGTGAACACTCACCAACCTGTGCAATCTCTCTCATCTTCTTGCAAGTGAAATATATCACATTAAAAAGCAGTTCATTGGCAGTCTCCATAAACATGTCGTGTGCACTGAAGTCTGAGTTATTGTCTGAACCAGGATGTAGCTGTCTTTTCTTCCTAACTTCTTCCATAGAATGCCGCAGAATAACATTTGATACATTTTGTGAGAGTTCATCGCAAATTACTTCATCTAAGGGTGAAATCCGAGGCCTTGTTGCTGTTTCAATAATTTTTCCATTTACGGACTCAATAAAGTCCCCTACATTTCTGTATATATTGGGCTTTGTCAAAATCATGGATGCCTCTTTGAGCAATGCCTCTGCAATGCTCTTGTTCAACTTCTCCATGCTGCTTCCTATGGCTATACTACAATGAAGGGTAACAGCTGCAGAAGTCTCAGCTGCAGATAAGAGTCCACTTGAAGTTGCAGGGTATTTATCTTCCTTTGTTTCACCAAGACCACAGACTGCTACAGCACTTGCTACTTGAGTCATACCACACAAAGCAGATGGAAATGAATATTCTGTATCTGCACAGTTATCAAGTACTCGTGAAGATTTTATCTGTTCCTCTTCATTATCAACTGTTTTGGTTTTAGAGTCTGTGGCTTCTTGTTCTCTTTTGAGTCTTTCTGCAGCGTGGGGGCTTGAAATGGTTCCAATAACTGTGGCTGCACAAGCCAAAGCTACTTCCAGTGCACTCTGGGTGTGTCCTTTGGAATTCTCTTCCTGCAGGTAATCTGAAATTTCAGCAGAACTTTCTGACTCAGACCAATGGCACAGATTTGGGAAACCAGACCCAGGCCATTCTGATGTATTTTCACAGCTGTCTGGACTTTGAACTATGACAATTTTTGGAAGTTCATTCCATGATTGGGAAGTTATGTCTTCTGTTGTACAAGTTGCTGAACTTAAGGAGTTTCCTACAGAGATGCTAATAGCAGCCTCCTTGGTAAAAGTAGGTTGAGATTGGGACAATCTAATAAATGCATCTTGCAGAACAGACTCTGCTAAATTTGTAGCATATTGACCTGTCGTTGCTTGCTCATTTTGCAAAGGAAGATGAGGTTTCCTTTCACCCGTATGCTCCTCTGTGTCTAGCTTATTGTTTTGTTTTGCTATTGTGACACACTGAGAAGCTTGTTCTTCCTTAGCCATTCTGGTCAAAGATACACCTTCTGAAGTGCATACTGGATAGGAATTTTCAGTCTTATCTGTAAGGGATCTTTCCAGGCTATTAGTATTAGGGGATGACCTAACTCTTCCAGCTAAATCATTCTTCCACTGTAGTTGCTGGATGGACTTATCCACAGTTTGTAAGATGCTGTCTTCAGCCACAATATTCAGTGCGTCTTCTGAATCAGCAGAGTTTTTAGCAGAAGTTAAGTTTTCTTTATTAAAGCAGTTGTCATCAAGGGCAAATGGCAGCGTGGTCTTCCTATAATGTAGGTGCTCAAATCCCTTTCCTTTATGCTTTCTGATATCTGATGCAGGTTCTGTGAGATGTACATTTTCATGACCTGTACAAATAAAAATGACACATTAGCCTTTAGATAACCAGCTGTCATTTTCTAAAAGGTGATTGTATTAATGTGTTGTACTGTACAATTAGCATACAAATACCATGTTCCCTATCTCTTGAGCAAAAATTTAAAAAAAATAAATGACTTTTATCTCTCCAATTATCCCTCTTCTATACTGCAATTAAATGTATGCATCAATTAATGTCAAGTGCAATTTATATGGGCATTACCCGAAGTATTTTGCAGTACTTAACAATAACAAACTTATGGTCAGTTACATTGCTTTTACCATTTTTATATTCATCAGCCTCATTCTCATCTTCAAGGTGCTCAGATGCTGTGAGAAAATCTTCTTCTATTGAGGACACTGAACAGTTTGTATCATCCTCAGGCTTTAAGATATTAGTTTCTATCTGCAGCTGTCTCTCCTGCACAAGCTCCAGTCCAATCAGAAACTTGTTTATTTCAAAGATGATGCAGCCTATGCTGTTTTTTCTGTTCCCCCTTGCACACTGAACCAAACATACATCTGCCAGCCAAGGACACTAGAGGGAAAAATAATATCAAACAGTTATTTAATTGAAAATGATTTTTTTTCCCTTTTCCCCTTATAATTATACAGGACAGTCTGTTGTAAAGAAGCAATAAAACTTGTGAATTAGATGTTTTCAACATACTGTGCAGTTACATTTATGCCAAATATGAGACTGTTTGACATGACATTTTCAGTTACAAAAGTGTTTTACGTAAATCGGGTGTAAGAAAGCACTCTGCTGTAGTCAGACTACTTTTTTTTTTAAAGTTACCAAATCGCTTACCCTTAATTCAGTTTCTTGTCCTTTTAATGGCATATTGTTCTACTTGCCTTTGGCTCTGTCGAAGTTAGCAACCCTCTCCATTATTAACATACACGTGTTTCTGAATGTTATTAAGCTATTTAAGGAATGGTTTGTGTAGGTTCTACATTCTTCTTCAAGACCATTTCTACTGTGATGCGTATAACAAATCAGCCTTGTGGATGACTAGTTTGCAAGGTAGTTAGGGATGGGGCTATTTACCTATTATAATATTAAAATACAATATTTTAAAACTGTATATACTCTGTATTCCTTTCCCTTAGCCTTGTGCCTGTGCAAAGCACCATTATTAATTATTTATATTACACTAGCACCTAGGAACCCCAAATGAGATTTGTTAAGTACTACATAGTAAGAGACAGTGAAGAGCTTTACCATGGAAGCCAAAGACAAAGGATGGGAGAAAGAAAGTACAGTGGGAAACTAAGGTCCAGCGAGATTAAGGCCCAGATCCTCATAGATATTTAGATGCCTAATGGGAGCTAAGTACCAAAATAACGTTGAGGGCTGGGTCTAACTAACTTGCTCCAGCTCATATACAGAGTTTGTGGCAGAGCTAAAATGTGAAGCCAGCTCTCAAGTCCCCATCCACATGCCTTAACAACAAGACCCTCCGTCCTCTCTTCTGACTTCAGTTGGAGTGAATTATTCATGTGAGTGAAGGAGTCAGCCTGTGTAGCTCTGATTGCAGGAGTGGGACCTTAGACTGAAAGCTCTTCAGAGCTGTATCTGTGTCTTTCTATGGGTTTGTACAGAACATTACAGCCCTGTCCTGACTCGCCTTTGGGTGCCACTGTAAGATAAGTATCTAAGTGTAAAAGTCTTGGGATTAGTGTTATACTGTAACAGCACATTTAACTGGTCTGTTTTCCCCTTCGAGCTACACAATATGTTTGAGTGGAAAAACTGCATGAATAAATTTGTTAGCACCTGAGAGGGCACAAGATTGACAGGCTTTGAGATTACTTGTCGCTAAGAAGCTACCATTGAATTCCAATTTAGTACAAAGAGTACTATGAAAAAATGCAAAATAATAAAGTAATGTGAAACAGTGAATGAGAGTCAATTTGTATTACTTCAAAATATAAAAATATGAAGAAAAGACGTATGTATTACTTCATTAGGACGCTGTCAGCTTTGATTGAAAATGTAAGTTTTAGATTGAAAATGTAATACGTTTTCCTGAAATTTACACAGCAAAAAAATCAATAAAACCAGGTGTATGTTTAGATATAAACATTCCTCTGCAAATGTCCCAGTACACAATCTGCAGTGTTACATTAGTGTTTAAGGTTTCCGAGTGGTAGCCATGTTAGTCTGTATCAGCAAAAAGAACGAGGAGTACTTGTGGCACCTTAGAGACTAACAAATTTATTTGGGCATAAGCTTTCATGGGCTAAAACACTTCAGCCTCCCTGGACACTCAATTACAGACCTAAAAGTCACAATTCTTCAACAAAAAAACTTCAAAAATAGACTCCAACGAGAAACTGCAGAACTGGAATTAATTTGCAAACTGGACACCATTAAATTAAGCTTGAATAAAGACTGGGAGTGGATGGGTCATTACACAAAGTAAAACTATTTCCCCATGCTAATTTTTCTCCAACTGTTACTCACACCTTCTTGTCAACTGTTTGAAATGGGCCATCCTGATTATCACTACAAAAGTTTTTTTTCCTCCTGCTGAGAATAGCCCACCTTGATTGATTAGACTCATTAGAATTGGTATGGCAACCCCCATTTTTTCATGTTCTCTCTGTGTGTGTGTATCTATCTATCTATCTATCTTCCTATCTATCTATCTATCTATCTATATATCTATCTATCTTCCTACTGTATTTTCCACTGCATGCATCCGATGAAGTGGGTTTTAGCCCTCAAAAGCTTATGCCCAAATAAATTTGTTAGTCTCTAAGGTGCCACAAGTACTCCTCGTTCTTTTTATTAGTGTTTAAGGGTCAGGAAATGAAACAGAGTAGAACCAAAGTGAAAATGAGGTAGGTGTGTGTGTGTGAATTTAATGCACGTGAAAAGAATGACATCCCTGAAATTCTTTTTCTAGATAGACAAATATGACAAGGACCGAATTAGCACAATGCTTCCTGATGCCAATGCTATTTCACCTCATCCTGACATGGAGAGAGCACCTCTCAGGTGAGAAGTTTAGGTCAGCTTCCATTTCTGTTTCAGTCCTGACCTCCCAGCAAGGGAGCTGTGTTTTATTGTGATATGAACGCTTGTTTACTGGGATTCTGAAGAATGGATTGAGATCACCAAACTCACAGGCCATCATAGAATCATAGAATATAAGGGTTGGAAGGGACCCCAGAAGGTCATCTAGTCCAACCCCCTGCTCAAAGCAGGACCAATTCCCAGTTAAATCATCCCAGCCAGGGCTTTGTCAAGCCTGACCTTAAAAACCTCTAAGGAAGGAGATTCTACCACCTCCCTAGGTAACGCATTCCAGTGTTTCACCACCCTCTTAGTGAAAAAGTTTTTCCTAATATCCAATCTAAACCTCCCCCACTGCAGCTTGAGACCATTACTCTTTGAGAACAGTCTAGAGCCATCCTCTTTGGAACCCCCTTTCAGGTAGCTGAAAGCAGCTATCAAATCCCCCCTCATTCTTCTCTTCTGCAGGCTAAACAATCCCAGCTCCCTCAGCCTCTCCTCATAACTCATGTGTTCCAGCCCCCTAATCATTTTTGTTGCCCTTCGCTGGACTCTCTCCAATTTATCCACATCCTTCTTGAAGTGTGGGGCCCAAAACTGGACACAGTACTCCAGATGAGGCCTCACCAATGTCGAATAGAGGGGAACGATCACGTCCCTCGATCTGCTCGCTATGCCCCTACTTATACATCCCAAAATGCCATTGGCCTTCTTGGCAACAAGGGCACACTGCTGACTCATATCCAGCTTCTCGTCCACTGTCACCCCTAGGTCCTTTTCTGCAGAACTGCTGCCTAGCCATTCGGTCCCTAGTCTGTAGCTGTGCATTGGGTTCTTCCGTCCTAAGTGCAGGACCCTGCATTTATCCTTATTGAACCTCATCAGATTTCTTTTGGCCCAATCCTCCAATTTGTCTAGGTCCTTCTGTATCCTATCCCTCCCCTCCAGCATATCTACCACTCCTCCCAGTTTAGTATCATCCGCAAATTTGCTGAGAGTGCAATCCACACCATCCTCCAGATCATTTATGAAGATATTGAACAAAACCGGCCCCAGGACCGACCCTTGGGGCACTCCACTTGATACCGGCTGCCAACTAGACATGGAGCCATTGATAACTACCTGTTGAGCCCGACAATCTAGCCAACTTTCTATCCACCTTATAGTCCATTCATCCAGCCCATACTTCCTTAACTTGCTGACAAGAATACTGTGGGAGACCGTGTCAAAAGCTTTGCTAAAGTCAAGAAACAATACATCCACTGCTTTCCCTTCATCCACAGAACCAGTAATCTCATCATAAAAGGCGATTAGATTAGCCAGGCATGACCTTCCCTTGGTGAATCCATGCTGGCTGTTCCTGATCACTTTCCTCTCATGCAAGTGCTTCAGGATTGATTCTTTGAGGACCTGCTCCATGATTTTTCCAGGGACTGAAGTGAGGCTGACTGTCCTGTAGTTCCCAGGATCCTCCTCCTTCCCTTTTTTAAAGATTGGCACTACATTAGCCTTTTTCCAGTCATCCGGGACTTCCCCGGTTCGCCACGAGTTTTCAAAGATAATGGCCAATGGCTCTGCAATCACAGCCGCCAGTTCCTTCAGCACTCTCGGATGCAACTCGTCCGGCCCCATGGACTTGTGCACGTCCAGCTTTTCTAAATAGTCCCTAACCACCTCTATCTCCACAGAGACATCAAACAGACATCAGATCTCCTGCGCCTTCTGGAGCAACTATGAAGTGGTGTGGCTGTTCATTGCTCCTTACTGGTGCAATGGAGCTCTTTGGTACTTAAAATGCACCATGCCATTATTTATGTTTTTTAAATGCAGCCATTAGGTATAAATAGCAAGTAAACTCAATAAACAACCAATTTTGTCTTTAAAAAGTAGCACATTAGTCGGACATAAAATGCAATGATCTTCGTAACAGAGATTACAGGGCACTCTCACAAAGATTTATGTGCACAAATTAATTTCACAGGGGTGCACAGGCCCTGCTGCTCATTGCTAGTGAAGATAACCTGTTCTGATTTTAATCTTACTTAGACAGGCTTTACACCTGCTGTGTAGCTCTACGGATTTAAGGAAGTTGCTCCTGATTTACACATGGATAAATGAGATCAGAATCAGGCCCAATAAACGGAGCTATTTTCATCCTTTCCCCTTGGCACAGGTATGAATGTAAAGGCACAAAGTCTTATGAAATAACATAGAGCCACAAAAAATTTGTCACTCTAACAAGCAGCTACACTTTTAAAATCTATGTTTAAAAATTGTTTTAATTTACCATTTAACATTTGCTTCCTATCTATATGTGGTGCTGGAAGTTGGGAATTCTTGGCATGCAACTCATTGCTGCCATTGGAGCATTCCAGAGCTATCGGAGTGAAGGGGTTGGATGCTAATCTTTACTTTTGTATCTTAGTTGGAGAAAGTAATCAATTAGTTTTACTGTTGCAGAATAAAGCAGGGACAAGCGTTGACGGGGTTAATAGCTCTCAGGCTCTTCCATTCTGCAATTAAATGTACCCACAGGCAAATGAATTCCCGAGACAATTTAGCCCAAGGGATATTAAAGCACCATCATGAATTCCTTTCAAAGGTGCCTAATGAGGCCAGTATGGCCGGGGATGGAGACAGGGAGGATTGCTAGAGCAGGCTGGCCAGTGGGAAGAAGGAGCAAGACCTTACTTAAAAGGGAATCTGCAGCAGCTCTGCTCTAACGCCCCACCCTCCCCCTCTCCCCCATGAATCCAAAGCATTAAATCCTCTCCCCTGCCTGTCCATGCTGCCCTTCTGCCCCGACTGTCTCTGGAAGCAGGATCCTGAATGAGCTATGCCACCATTGGCTGCTTTCTCAGGATGCTGCACAGAAGTAGCTATTAGGGGTCCTGAATGAGAGTTTGAGTGACTATGCTTACGGCAGTATTAACTCTCACCTAGATAGCCATAGGATCTGGAGGGGAACAGGCTGATCCCTGGCTCCACCCCTTCCTATCTCAGCTCAGCCCCCAATTCCCCCCTGATTTGGACTTTTAACTATGTAGCTGCATAAATGGTGTTTAAACAGCTAAGCTTGTTCTTTTTATGTGTACATACCTGTGTAGTTCTCAAGCCAGCACTTGGCTCTGTGCTTGCAGATTCTTTTCTTTCAGATTGCATACACTATCCTTGATGGCTGCGATGTGTTCCTAAAGATAAATGAATAGTGCCTACCTGAGAAACTTCAAAATCAGCCTGAAGATTTCCTGAAGTTAATCCACTCAGCAGGACTATTTCGTTTTCTTTTGGTGGTTGTACATTCATAGAGCTGATAAGTTTTGGGAGATTTGGAGAGACACTCATCAATCTCTGCAATAAGAAAATTATGGCTGAGATAACACCACTCTACTTCACCCCGGTCAGAGTTACCCTGTTGCATCCGTAAATATTTAAAGGACACTTGGTAGGCATTCCTTTTAAATGCATTTTAAAAATGAACTCAATTCTCAGAACATACCAGAACTAGAATTGGCAGCACTGAAAATGCAGGTCCTCTATTTATGTACCAAACAATTACAGCAATGGCAGTGCAAATGTCCCCACACTGCCCTAGAAATATGACAGCATTAGGGATCAGAGGTCAGTTCAGTCCCCATGCCCATAAAAAGTCTTGGCCTTTGTACTATGAATAGCTCCTGAGTGAACGGAACTACTGTGTACACAATGTTAATATGTAAAATACAAAAGGATTAAATAATTATTGGTATGGGCTAAATCTTGTAGTTCCTACTCAGGCTTATGATTAACAAGAAATCAAAAGGAGTTTTACTGGAAAAAGATCTGCTGGATTTTGCCCTATGAAATTAATTCCGTTTTAAATCTATATTTACAATGATGTATTCAATACACCATTTGAATTAAACATCCATTTCTTAGATTTAATATACTCTGTAGATACTTTGGTTTCATAACCTATCATTTGTGATGTGAAAACAGAGTAACTTTCTATATGGCATGTGTTTTACATATATGCACAGTACATTTGAACAAAGATAAACTACTAATGATGATGATACGTTGCTCTGTTGTTATAATATTTGTATAGCAGTGGCGCCTGGGAGCCCCTGCCATGGATCAGGACCCTGCTGTGCTAGGTGCTGTACAAATGCAGAACAAAATAAGACTCCCTGCCCCAAAGAGCTTACCTAAAGCTCTTAACGTGCTGTATGAACAATAAGTAATTAAACATCACAGTGTCTCTGAGACACGTAACCATTATTATCTCCACTTTATACATGACCAAGTACAGCACATCAGTGGCATAGCCATGAAAAGAATCCAGAACCTTGACACCCAGTCCTGTGCTTTAACTACAATACAGTTCAAAGATACTTCATTTCCCCCCTCTTTATCTTCAAAATGATAAGGTTACAGTACTGACATTTCTCCTTACACTGATTTAAATTAGACTTAATACCAATGGCTGGCTTGGCAAACCTAATTCAGTTACGGGGAACAATCTACTTCTCAGTACATTGATCTGCAGATATGACCAAGTATTAATATTTGATATAAAACTTAAATTCGGTGCTTCAATTCATTTTGACATTTTTAGTCTAGTACCCAAAAAGTACTTGTCTTTTTTTCATGATAATTTTTCTGTTATCATAGTGTTTTCTCTGTATTTTCTCTTGCTTAAATTACCATATTTATCAGATTACTTAGGCTGGAAAACCATGACATTTTAAATATCTTTTTTTTTTTTCCCCTGCTTGGAATCAAAGGGAAAGGTCTGGGAAGAATGTTCTTAAATTTGTAACCAAGAAACCCTTGTAACATATTCTATAGCACAGTATAGACTCTATTTTATAGGTGACAAAAGGATGATTTGAAATGCTAACAGACAGCACCAATATGTAACACATGGCACTGTACAACTTATATAAACATTTTTGTGCCTCACAGTTATGCCAAGATCTTTTATATACTTCTATTAAATATTTTCACTGCACTAGCATGTTGTTTAAATCCATAGTGTCAAAAGTAGATTTTACAGTCATTGTAAATTATACAAAGAAAGGCATACAGACCGATCTTCCTTTTAGAGGCTGTTAGATAATATATAAACTTTTATCTTGGTGGCACATATTTTAAAATGTTCATTAACCACAGAGGAAAACCCACTAGTTTTCACTTATACCTAAGAAACATTCAGACTACGTACTGGTAACTCTATTTCTAGAAGGCTAAATCCTGTGGTCTGTAGAAAGGCGACATATGTAAGGCCACATATGTAGGGCCTCTGAGGTAACAGACCTGGCATTTTTCAGTGCATGGGGTATCCCAGATGTGGAGGGGCCATGCAAGGAGAGAGGGAATGTTGCAAAGTAAGGTTCCACTCTCTCTGTACCATTGTACTGGAGGGGCCTGTGGATAGCTTAGGGACGTGGCCAGTGAAGGCACCACTACGTAGATCTATGGGTCAAACCCCATGTTGCTGTGAGGAGTCTCCAATGGTGATTTGTGCTTGTGGGAGAGGATTCTAACTCTAGCCCTTTGCAAATATGTGCTGCGTAAAGCTCATTTACTTGGGTTTTGTGCAGGTGTCAGGATCTGGCCTTTATCAAGGCTCTCTTGCTCATTAATCAATCCCCATGACCTGACATAGCATCAGTTCTTTAAAAAACAATACTGAGGTTGTAAATAAATAAATAAAATAATTTAGTACTTCTGTGGATTCAGTGAAGTTAAACTTTCAATCTGGCATCCACACTTAACCAACTGATTCAACAGAAAAATCCATTTGCCTATGGAAGCTGTATATATTTTTGATGTTTAAGTTTCCACAGCTTGAGGCTATCGACAGCTGCTTGTAGAAAGACTTCCTTCTCGCGAATCACTGGCAGACGGCAATTAGGAAAATAATGTGGCAGTTCTCAACTGAACTGAGAATGGCCCCAGCAAACAAATTTCAGTATTTCACTGAGGAACACTTTGAGTATGGCCAATAACCCCCCTCCTTCAATGTGTTCACTTGTCATGTATTTCTGATGCCAGCATGGGATGATGGAGGCAGTAAGGGAAGGTTTAAGCTTCCATTCTGTGGCCCTATATAAAAGCTCATTTTTGTGCCACGCTTTCAAAATGTCCCTTCTTCCCATAACCACTGACTTGAGCATTTCAGGAGGATTTTCACACATTTTCAGTTGTATGTCCAGCTGTGCAGCTGGTTTTATGAATTGCTAAAGAGTGTCCTGGTTTTCTGCTCAGTAAATAAGCAGAAATCCAATGAGTCAAATCCTTAGGCCCTTAAACATTTTTTTTAACCAGTCTCTAAAGTCTCCAAAGTCTGGAGTTTGCCTGAATAAGACTGAGCAGCTGAGTAAAACGTAAATAACTGAGTAAAAGGGCCTCAAGATTTGCTTGATGATAGGAGGAAAAGACGTCATGAGACTATTTTATGAACTGCAGTGTCAAGATAAACTACTACAACTACTACACATGTACAAACACTTCTTTTATAAAACCAAGACTTAGCAGAAACTCCACTTACAAAACAGGCATTGTGAATTTAGACCACAAAATTCTAGTAGCTGGCATCCGAGTTGGGCATAAAGCCACACGTGTAGAACTGTATCCAAATCTGAATTTCAAACACTGTTGTTTGAGGGGTTTCAAATCCAGAGTTTTGATTCAGCCCACATTAAAATGAGTGTCCATTTGTAAAATTTAGATCCATGTTTAGGTTTCAAATCCTGGCAAAGTTTGAGAGGGGACAAGAGAGAATAGGGCCGAGGAATATGGTTTGGGCCTCTCTCTCTCGTTCTCATCACACCATCCTGTGAATAACATGAACATATGTATTGTGCACATTATTAGGCCTTTCCTAATTTGATACCTGTTTTAAGTGCTCATCACTGCAGTCATCTTTGTTTGCATCTACATTCACAAAGCAAACCTGTAATAAAAAAAGAGAGAAAAAAGGTAGTCTAAGGTTTCTTAAGAAATTTAGCAAACAATTTAAAGGTAATTAATATAAATACATTTCCTACACTTGTAGCTGGATATGGCACCTTTTCATCACACAAAAAGAACTGTCATAAGGTCAAATGGGAGTAATGTACTGACATTAAAATGGGAGAAGAAAAGGCAAGAGAATTAAGAGCAATCATT